ACACCAACGATGGAGCACTATACCTCCCACCGACACCAGCGATGGGGCACTATACCTCCCACCGACACCAGCGATGGGGAACTATACCTCTCACTGACACCAGCGATGCGGCACTATTCCTCCCACTGATACCAGCGATGGGGCACTATACCTCCCACTGACACCAATGATGGGGCACTATACCTCCCACTGATACTAGCGATGGGGCACTATACCTCCCACTGACACCAATGATGGGGCACTATTCCTCCCACTGATACCAATGATGCGGCACTATACCTCCCACTGATACCAGCGATGGGGCACTATACCTCCCACTGACACCAATGATGGGGCACTATTCCTCCCACTGATACCAATGATGGGGCACTATTCCTCCCACTGATACCAATGAGGGCACTTTTCCTCCCACTGATACCAGCGATGAGGCACTATACCTCTCACTGACACCAGCGATGGGGCACTATACCTTCCACCGATACCAGCGATGAGGCACTATACCTCCCACCAACACCAGCAATGGGGCACTATACCTCCCACCGACACCAGCGATGGGGCACTATACCTCCCACCGACACCAGCGATGGGGCACTATACCTCCCACTGATACCAGCGATAGGGTAATTGTTTTTTATACTCCCACTGACCCACATTCTGGCCCCCCTAAAGTTTAATGGCAAGTAAACTGGCCCTTTATTTTGACTTCTTGGAGATCCCTAATCTAATGTAAAGTGTCACAGAACATTACGAGGTCTACTATTTTTTTTAAAGATTCGCTGAGAAATGTATACAGTGATTTTCAACAGCATTTCCAATTCCAGGAAAAGAGCAGCTGAATCCCACGTGTAGAGTACCTGTCAAAAATCCGGCCATCTCTCTCCATGGTGCTGAAACTGTGTTTCTACATTGGTTCAGCATTAGAGGGACTATCTGTGTTTTTTTTAAGTAATCAATTAAAAAAAATAACTTACTCACCCCCCCCCCACCCCTGCAGCAGAACTAAACAGACCAGCATGCCAGGCATGTGGGACAGTATTGTAGACCCTCAACAAGGGATGTAGCCCCAATTACTCTGATACCAGATCTCCAGCACTGTGATTATTTCGAGAGTGGTGTTCTCCTAAAATACAGAGATTCTCCTACCGAAGGACTGGTGCCCAATGCTGATAGGTACCTACCCCTTCGGAACCACCAGGCTGGTGCCATCACAGTGGTGCTGTGGATTATGTATCATCCATGTGTTGGGACCCTCTTTTGTTATTCCCTGGTGTGGGGGCTGCTGGATGAGAGAACAAGAGCACTCAGCTTCACCCTAAGCCCCAGTCATTATGGTGGGCACTGTAGTAGCTGACCCCTGAGCACTCTCCTTCTACTGGGGTGGCCCAGCTCCTTCCGTTTTTCTCTCCTGTACACCCCATTCCTTGGGACTTCTTCCACCACCTGAGCTTATAGACCAGAGGGGATATGATCACCATGTATAATACGTAAGGGGGGGATATGATCACCATGTATAATACATAAGGGGGGATATGATCACCATGTATAATACATAAGGGGGATATGATCTCCATGTATAATACATAAGGGGGGATATGATCTCCATGTATAATACATAAGGGGGGATATGATCTCCATGTATAATACATAAGGGGGGATATGATCTCCATGTATAATACATAAGGGGGATATGATCACCATGTATAATACGTAAGGGGGGGATATGATCACCATGTATAATACATAAGGGGGGGATATGATCACCATGTATAATACATAAGGGGGGATATGATCTCCATGTATAATACATAAGGGGGGATATGATCTCCATGTATAATACATAAGGGGGGATATGATCTCCATGTATAATACATAAGGGGGGGATATGATCTCCATGTATAATACATAAGGGGGGATATGATCTCCATGTATAATACATAAGGGGGGATATGATCTCCATGTATAATACATAAGGGGGATGATCTCCATGTATAATACATAAGGGGGGATATGATCTCCATGTATAATACATAAGGGGGGGATATGATCTCCATGTATAATACATAAGGGGGGGATATGATCTCCATGTATAATACATAAGGGGGGGATATGATCTCCATGTATAATACATAAGGGGGGTATGATCACCATGTATAATACGTAAGGGGGGATATGATCTCCATGTATAATACGTAAGGGGGGATATGATCTCCATGTATAATACATAAGGGGGGGGTATGATCACCATGTATAATACATAAGGGGGGATATGATCTCCATGTATAATACGTAAGGGGGGATATGATCTCCATGTATAATACATAAGGGGGGGATATGATCTCCATGTATAATACGTAAGGGGGATATGATCTCCATGTATAATACGTAAGGGGGATATGATCTCCATGTATAATACATAAGGGGGATATGATCTCCATGTATAATACATAAGGGGGGATATGATCTCCATGTATAATACATAAGGGGGGATATGATCTCCATGTATAATACATAAGGGGGATATGATCTCCATGTATAAATACATAAGGGGGGATATGATCCCCATGTATAACACATAAGGGGGATATGATCTCCATGTATAATACATAAGGGGGGATATGATCTCCATGTATAATACATAAGGGGGATATGATCTCCATGTATAATACATAAGGGGGGATATGATCCCCATTTATAATACGTAAGGGGGGATATGATCTCCATGTATAATACGTAAGGGGGGATATGATCTCCATGTATAAATACGTAAGGGGGGATATGACCTCCATGTATAATATATAAGGGGGGATATGACCTCCATGTATAATACATAAGGGGGGGGATATGATCTCCATGTATAATACATAAGGGGGGATATGATCACCATGTAAAATACATAAGGGGGGATATGATCTCCATGTATAATACGTAAGGGGGGATATGATCTCCATGTATAATACATAAGGGGGATATGATCACCCATGTATAATACATAAAGGGGGGTATATGCTATCCATGTATAATACATAAGGGGGATATGATCTCCATGTATAAAACATAAGGGGGGGATATGATCTCCATGTATAATACGTAAGGGGGGATATGATCTCCATGTATAATACATAAGGGGGATATGATCTCCATGTATAATACATAAAGGGGGGATATGATCACCATGTATAATACATAAGGGGGGGTATGCTATCCATGTATAATACATAAGGGGGATATGATCTCCATGTATAATACATAAGGGGGGATATGATCACCATGTATAATACATAAGGGGGGGTATGCTATCCATGTATAATACATAAGGGGGATATGATCTCCATGTATAAAACATAAGGGGGGATATGATCTCCATGTATAATACATAAGGGGGGATATATGATCTCCATGTATAATACATAAGGGGGGATATGATCTCCATGTATAATACATAAGGGGGGATATGATCTCCATATATAATACATAAGGGGGGAAATGATCTCCATGTATAATACATAAGGGGGGATATGATCTCCATGTATAATGCATAAGGGGGATATGATCTCCATGTATAATACATAAGGGGGATATGATCTCCATGTATAAAATACATAAGGGGGATATGATCTCCATGTATAATACATAAGGGGGGATATATCTCCATGTATAATACATAAGGGGAATATGATCTCCATGTATAATACATAAGAGGGGGATATGATCTCCATGTATAATACATAAGGGGGGATATGATCTCCGTGTATAATACATAAGGGGGGATATGATCTCCATGTATAATACATAAGGGGGGATATGATCTCCATGTATAATACATAAGGGGGGATATGATCTCGTGTATAATACATAAGGGGGGATATGATCTCCGTGTATAATACATAAGGGGGGATATGATCTCCATGTATAATACATAAGGGGGGATATGATCTCCATGTATAATACATAAGGGGGATATGATCTCCATGTATAATACATAAGGGGGGATATGATCTCCATGTATAATACATAAGGGGGATATGATCTCCATGTATAATACATAAGGGGGGATATGATCTCCATGTAATAATTTAATACATAAGGGGGATATGATCTCCATGTATAATATACATAAGGGGGGAATATGATCTCCATGTATAATATAAAGGGGGGGGATATGATCACCATGTATAATACATAAGGGGGATATATGATCTCCATGTATAAGATACATAAGGGGGGATATGATCTCCATGTAAAAACATAAGGGGGGATATGATCTCCATGTATAATACATAAGGGGGGATATGATCTCCATATATAAATACATAAGGGGGGGATATGATCTCCATGTATAATACATAAGGGGGATATGATCTCCATGTATAATGCATAAGGGGGATATGATCTCCATGTATAATACATAAGGGGGGATATGATCTCCATGTATAATACATAAGGGGGGATATGATCTCCATGTATAATACATAAGGGGGGATATGATCTCCATGTATAATACAAAGGGGGATATGATCTCCATGTATAATACATAAGGGGAATATGATCTCCATGTATAATACATAAGAGGGGGATATGATCTCCATGTATAATACATAAGGGGGGATATGATCTCCGTGTATAATACATAAGGGGGGATATGATCTCCATGTATAATACATAAGGGGGGATATGATCTCCATGTATAATACATAAGGGGGATATGATCTCCATGTATAATACATAAGGGGGGATATGATCTCCATGTATAATACATAAGGGGGATATGATCTCCATGTATAATACATAAGGGGGGATATGATCTCCATGTATAATACATAAGGGGGATATGATCTCCATGTATAATACATAAGGGGGATATGATCTCCATGTATAATAAATAAGGGGGGATATGATCACCATGTATAATACATAAGGGGGATATGATCTCCATGTATAATACATAAGGGGGGATATGATCTCCATGTATAATACATAAGGGGGGATATGATCTCCATGTATAATACATAAAGTGTCCGGACTGGAAGGGGGGGGAAAGTGTCCGGACAGGAAGGGGGTGAAAGTGTCCGGACTGGAAGGGGGTGAAATGTGTCCGGACTGGAAGGGGGGAAAGTGTCCGGACTGGAAGGGGGGGGGGGAAAGTGTCTGGACTGGTAGGGGGGGGAAAAAGTGTCCGGACTGGAAGGATGGGGAAAGTGTCCGGACTGGAAGGGGGGGGGAAAGTGTCCGGACTGGAAGGGGGGGAAAGTGTCCAGACTGGAAGGGGGTGAAAGTGTCCGGACTGGAAGGGGATGAAAGTATCCGGACTGGAAGGGGGGGGGGAAAGTGAAAGTGTCCGGACTGGAAGGGGGGGGGAAAGTGTCCGGACTGGAAGGGGGGGGGAAAGCATCCGGACTGGAAGGGGGGGAAAGCGTCCGGACTGGAAGGGGGGGAAAGCGTCCGGACTGGAAGGGGAGGAAAGTGTCCGGACTGGAAGGGGGGGAAAGCGTCCGGACTGGAAGGGGGGGAAAGCGTCCGGACTGGAAGGGGGGAAAGCGTCCGGACTGGAAGGGGGGGGGAAAGCGTCCGGACTGGAAGTGGGGGAAAGCGTCCTGACTGGAAGGGGGGGGGAAGCGTCCGGACTGGAATAGGGGGGGGAAGCGTCCGGACTGGAAGGGGGGGGGAAGCGTCCGGGACTGGAAGGGGGGGGAAGCGTCCGGACTGGAAGGGGGGGGGAAGCGTCCGGACTGGAAAGGGGGGGGAAAGCGTCCGGACTGGAAGGGGGGGGGGAAGTGTCCCAGACTGGAAGGGGGGGGAAAGTGTCCGGACTGGAAGGGGGGGAAAGTGTCTGGAAGTGGTTAAGAAAGGTAATTCTCTCTACTACACCCCCTAGACTATGTGATTCCTCTTGTACAAATCACTGAGCAAACTGTTGGCGCTAAATAAATCCTGTATAATAATAATATATAAATCCTGTATAATAATAATATATAAATCCTGTATATAATAATAATAATATATAAATCCTGTATAATAATAATATATAAATCCTGTATAATAATAATATATATATCCTGTATAATAATAATATATGTATCCTGTATAATAATAATATATAAAATCCTGTATAATAATAATAATAATAATAATATATAAATCCTGTATAATAATAATATATAAATCCTGTATAATAATAATATATATATCCTGTATAATAATAATATTATAAATCCTGTATAATTAATAATAATAATAATAATAATATATATAAATCCTGTATAATAATAATATAATAATATATAAATCCTGTATAATAATAATATATAAATCCTGTATAATAATAATAATAATAATAATAATAATATATAAATCCTGTATAATAATAATAAATATATAATCCTGTATAATAATAATAATAATAATATATAAATCCTGTATAATAATAATATATAAATCCTGTATAATAATAATAATAATAATAATATATAAATCCTGTATAATAATAATAATAATAATAATATATAAATCCTGTATAATAATAATAATAATAATATATAAAATCCTGTATAATAATAATAATAATATGTTGGGGGCAGAGGGTACAGCCAGGCAGAAAATTGTCTTCAAACTAGACAAGACTACAAGTGTGAACTGCTCTTCTACAGCCATCCCCTAGATAGCAGCACTGAGCCTTCGGATGAAGAGGAATTTCATGCTTGCCTTGCCAGCCGCAGAGTGGTGTACCGGGTTTAGCCATCGACAAAAGGAAAAATTCATTTATTTGCTAACTGTGTTGCAATCTCTTGCAGCATGCAGGTCTGTTGAGCAACCACAGCCAAAAAAAAACAGGTTCCCAAATCATACAAAAGAAAAAGAAGTGTACATTTCATACCTTCATACCTGCAGACATCCAGTATTCCGGGACATGTCCACCTCTGCCACGCCTCTGGCCTTGATGAATTCATGGACAAAAGATACAGACAAGAGAAGTCTAATGGCAGAGAAAGACCAAGTGGCTCTTCTGCTTCATACAAAAACTTTTTTGTGCCGATCAGTGTTTGAAAATCAAAATTAAAGTCCACATAAATGAACCTCCCCATAAATCCAGATAAGGTGTGTACCTCAAACAAATGAAAAGACTAAATAGTGCATTCCCTTCAATAACAGCTGCTATATACAGTACTTTACCAAACAGTAAGTATATACTTCACAAAGATAAGTGCAAAAATAAATTCAAACAAGATACAAATCGTGAAATCACTCCGTGTACACTATAAATGAATAGATAAATGTGAACAATCAGCGTACAATATTCATAGCTGAAGCATAGTAAACTGTGTTTGTGATGCTTCAGTTTATGAATGAACAGGAAGTCGGTCTGCACAAAGCCCATTCATTAACTGTCCAGCGCATCTGAGGCTGCAGAGAAGGGGACTGGGGACTCTTTATCCTCAGTCCCTTACTCTGTCTCAAATGTGAGACATCAGGAGTCTTGCAGAGCAGATTCCCCTGCTGCCCAGCCCTCCACTCGGTACTGATCACTCACTGTGTTCATTCGTAGCCAAAGCATAGTAAACTGTGTTTGTGATGCTTCAGTTTATGAATGAACAGGAAGTCGGTCTGCACAAAGCCCATTCATTAACTGTCCAGCGCATCTGAGGCTGCAGAGAAAGGGACTGGGGACTCTTTATCCTCAGTCCCTTACTCTGTCTCAAATGTGAGACATCAGGGGTCTGCTTAAACCCTTGACACCTGTACTTCACCAAAATTCCCATCGGGGCTCCTAAAAAATATGGTGAAAAAATGATAAAAAATAATATTGTAAAAAAAAAATAAATATAATTGTAAAAAATAATAAAAATAAATACCTATTGACACTGTCATATTCATTTATTTATATATATATACAGGTGTACCTTGGTTTACAAACGCCTCAGTTAATGTAATTTTCGGTTACGCCTCGGTTTACAAATTGTTTTCGCAATAAAAACAGATTAATTGGTTTTCAATGCATTTACAATTTTTTTTGAATCATGTCCCTGTACAGTATTTATGCCTTTAAACTGCACTTTATAAAAGAGTTCTGAACAGATAAAAAACTTTTTTTTAACTTTTTTTCTGACCTTCGGAATGGATTAATTGGTTTTCAGTACATTTACAATTTTTTTTTAATCATGTCCCTGTACAGTATTTATGCCTTTAAAGTGCACTTTATAAAGAGTTTTGAACAGATAAAAAACTTTTTTTTACTTTTTTTTTACCCTCCAGAACGGTTTACAATTGGTTTTCAATGCATTTACGAATTCATTTTTAATCATGTCCCTGTACAGTATTTATGCCTTTAAAGTGCACTTTATAAAAGAGTTTTGAACAGATAAAAGACTTTTTTTTAACTTTTTTTCTGACCACCGGAACGGATTAATTGGTGTCCAATGCATTCCTATGGGTTTATGAATTTTTTCGCAATACAAAAAGTCCCGCAGAACACATTAAATTCGTAAACCGAGGTATGCCTGTATATATATATATATATATATATATATATATATATATATATATACATACACATGTGCATGTATGTGTTTAGGTTTTGGCGTGCATGCACACCCTAATGCAATGCGCTGCGCACACTTATGGTCAGTCTCTTTGGCATTTGATATTTACTGGCCGTGTCGGATACCTGTGTCCCCCATCCTGAGCCAAGATTCCTTCCTCCAGCCCCGAGTGAAGCAACACCATATGGGGATATTATTGGACTATATGGGGATATTATTGGACTATATGGGGATATTATTGGACTATATGGGGTACTATCTTGGACTCTGTGAATGCATTTATGGATTTTTAAAAGCTTACAATATCCAAAGTCATTAGGAAAGTAGTACAACCCACATGCCAGTATACCTACCCACAAGCCTGGTGCACTGGGATGGTGGAGTAAGAAGGGAAGGCCTTCTGTTCTCATCTCTTCAGCTTTCTCCAGCCGTGGCCTTTTAGTCCGGCCCGCATATTGCAAACCGCATGGGCATTGGAGGGCATACACAACTCCCTCTGTTCGACATGAAATAAATTCACATATCTGATTCCAGTACCGAGGAAATCAGAAGTAGTACTGCAGGAGCCATTTTTGATAAAGGGAATCAGCTTTCCTTTTGTTTTTACTCTGTGAGTGTGATATTTTACTTCAATAAATGACTGTATGTTTACACAGGGTTTCACTATGAATTATCCTTTCTCCCTTTGAGCCTATACTCATCTGGGTGGATACAGCAAGATATCGGCCCCTTAAAAGGGACAGGAGGAGTGAAGTAGCTGTAAAGAGGTGGAAGCTAATACGCCGAGTGGGATGAATTTCAAGCAATTGTGACCCATGATTATATGGTTCTGATGAGAAGGTGAGCATACATTGCACCCAGTGGTGATGGGGTATTGGGCGTGCTTTGGAGATGTTGTTTGAGAATCGCCATCACTACTAAGAGAGGATATTTTGGTTGGATGGGCACATTTTTACTACACCTTTATGTGAGTGCACTTATTAAGGCTATTCACATCATAGTAGTCATACGGTGTTGCAATATGAAATGTATGTTTTTTATCGATTTGTAGGTCGAATCACAAGGTGAGCAGGTTTTTCACATCTTTGGAACCATCAAGGAGAGTCCGGATGGAAGAGCTGGTCTGAAATAAAACCACCGAATAATAAAGCACACTTCCAGATTCACCTGGCAGCTCAGAGTGCGGCCTCCTGCACCCACCTTGCATAGTTGCCAACATTTAAAAAAAATATTTAGGTACACTTTTAGTTGTCTGCATATCCAGAAAGTCAGGGTATGCGAAATAGTATGTTAATTAGGGGCAGGACATTCATTTATAGGCGTGGTTTAACCCAGAAGGTTAAAAAATCCACATGCTGAAAAATGGGCGTGGATTAAAGGGGTTGTGGTTAAATAGAATCAGATTTTCTTGGGCTCCCCCCATGCAATTTTGCTCTCCACCCCAACGTCCCAAAAAAACACACATAAACTTTTCTCAAAAAACTTTAATAATGTAAACATAAATAACTGGTCCACATTCATTGATTGGTTGCTAGAGGTTACTGCACATCATTACTGCTCACTGATTGGTTGCTAGAGGTTACTGCAAATCATTACTGCTCACTGATTGGTTGCTAGAGGTTACTGCTACATACTACAGGAGAGCATCAGAGACTGCAGGCGTACTACAGGAGAGGGTCAGCGACTGCAGGTGTACTGCAAGAAATGGTCAGATACTGCAGACATACAACAGGAGAGGGTCAGAGACTGCAGGAGTACTACAGGAGAAGGTCAGAGAATGCATGTGTACTACAAGAAATGGTCAGAGACTGCAGACAGACATACTACAGGAGAGGGTCAGAGACTGCAGTTGTACTACAAGAAATGGTCAGAAAAAAATGGGCATGGATTAAAGGGGGTGTGGTTAAATAGAGTGAGATTTTCTTGGGCTCCCCCATGCAATTTTGCTCTCCACCCAAACATCCCAAAAAACACACACATAAACTTATCTCAAAAAACTTAAATAATGTAAACATAAATAACTGGTCCACACTCATTGATTGGTTTCTAGAGGTTACTGCACATCATTACTGCTCACTTATTGGTTGCAAGAGGTTACTGCTACATACTGCTGGAGAGAGTCAGAGACTGCAGGTGTACTACAAGAAAGAGTCAGAGACTGCAGACATATTACAGGAGAAGGTCAGGGACTTCAGGGGTACTACATAAGAGGGTCAGGGACTGCAGGCATACTACAGGAAAAGGTCAGGGACTTCAGGCGTACTACAGAAGAGGGTCAGAGACTGCAGGTGTACTA